CCCCCCATGTCCCACAGGATGCAGCCTGCAGCGTCCCAACATGATGGGCCTTGGAGCTGCTCTCACTGGCAAGGGGGGATGGGGCACTCAGCCCAGCAGCAACACCTGAGGACTGGGGCTTGTTTGCTCTTCTCGGTATTTTTTCCTCCCCCACCCCATGTGTTTAAAGCCTTTGCTCTCTACCTCACCACAGCTTTGTTTGCACTGCTGTGACCCCCAGCATCCCTCCCGCCTCCCCCAGCACACGAGGGAGGGCGGGTTCCCCTTTTCTGAGTAATTGAGAGCAGCTGCCGTAACCAGACAAACAACTCTGCTCCAGACCTCAGGCTGCGCTGCCAGCAGTGGAGATTGCCACCCTCCGGAGCTGCCGCCTCCCGACAAGCAGGCTGGCTCCACTAACTGGAGGGCACCGCTATGAGGCAAGACCACCAAGAAGCAGCATCATCCAAAGCTCTGCCTGATCTCACGGGCTGAGTGAGCCCCACTATCCCATCCTGCCAGCAGGGAGGGGCAACCACAGCTGGCACAGAGACAGACGCAGCTCCTCAGCGATACAAGGCCGATTTATTGGCTTTGTTGCACAACACATCACAGCTGGATGCTGGAAGGACCTGCAGGCGTTGGCTGTGGATCAAATAATTTTGTCACATGTTATTATACCATCACCTCCCACGCCGCACCACCCGTGGTTGGCTCACAGCCACATCTGTTAGCCAGGTCAGCAGCTGGTTACCCATTCCAGCACAATCTGGAGTTCCCAATCCGGTTCCTCAGCTGCCTCGTGCAAAAGGCAATGCTCACTCGGCAGATAAAGGACCCAAACCACCCCCTTCCATGCTGAGCCCTGAGGGAGTGACAGGCTGAGGGGCGTAAAGGGGGAAGCCAGGACACCAGTGGAGTGAGGAACAGGCCCCCTACACATCTGCTGCCCCACTGCTCTCAAGAACCCACACACAAAGTGGCCAGCTCAGCTCCCGCTCAGTGCTAGAGTTTCACCTCGACGTAGGGCCCAATCCAGCTGTCAGCCAGCTCCCGGAGGGTCCTGTACCTGCGCTCAAACTCCTCCCTGCTGCAGTGAGTGAGAAGCCGGCTGATCTCCGCTGTAAGGAAGGACACCACCAGGGATTTATCCAAAGACTCATTCCAGGAACTCTTCAAGACCTCCAAGAGACCATCAGCACTGTCTTGCCCAGCCTGATGGGCATCACTTCCCTTCTGCCACTGTCTGCTGAGCATCTCCAGCTGCAAGGTCTTCCTGTCTGAATTCAGCACAGCCAGGATGTGCCGGCAGGGCAGCTGGAAGACCTGGTTGAAGTGGCAAGTGCAGCTGCTCAGGCCTTTACGGTCCACGCTGTGGGCATCCTCCAGGACCTGAATACTGAGGGCATCCTCCCCAGTGCCTATTAGCTGCACAGACTTCTGAACCACCGCAAACTCACTCAAGCACAGCCTGGCAGCTGGCTCTGTGCAAATATCCTTCAAAGACTGCTTGATGCGTTCTTCAGTCCTTCGGTTAATCTCATCATCGCTGTCACCCTCTGGGTTTTCCGTAGCCTCCAGTTTAGCTGCAGGAGATGAAGGATCTAATGAGGACTGAGGGGTCACAGGCTTGCTCTGGAGGAGGAGAGCCTGGGGGGTTTCTGGCTGATGCTGAAGATCCATAGGTAGCCGAGGAGCTGCGCACGGACTCTGAAGAAGAATCACAAGACTCTTAGCTGCTGTGAAAGAGGCTGCCACTGGCCACTGCTGCTGAGCTGCTGCTGTGGTGAGGCAGGCCTGGATAGAGCTCTAAGATGGCTTATCCTGGCACACCAGAGGGGTGAGAGGCAGACCCAAGGCAGGCAAGCTTTGGGGAGTTGCCTGAACAGCATGGTGGCGGGGAGCAGAGCACATCATAGCATCAGGAAGGCTCTTAGAAACACACTTTTGGTAGTGCTGGGCTAAGGAGGTGATGCAGCTCTCCAGAGAGAGCCCAGCACTGAAAACCAAGCTTAACCCCTGGGTGACCATCTCCAGGTCCCTAAAGTAAATAGTGGTCTCCCTGCAAGCCCTCTCCCTGTGTGCGGCCCAGATCTCATCATCAAGCAGCCAGTTAACATGGAGCTGCGGCAGCAAGTCTGGTGTCATGAGGTCCCTCAGGAGGGCATGCATCTTCCTGCAGCTGCCCTCAGGGGCTGCGCTTGTGGTGTTGCTCAGGGCAGCCAGGATCAGGCGCTCGACACGGCCCTCCAAGGCCAGTTGCTGAATCTGCTGCTGCAAGCGCTTGCAGAGGTGGAAGACTGATAGCTGCACCTCTGCTGCGGGAAAGGCCTGGGCGAGCACTGGCAGCTGGGGAAGCCGGGACCCACCAGGAGGAGCTGGGTCTCAGCCCAGGACGGGTTGAAGGCCCTGAACGCCCTGTACATGCGGGTCAGGCTTCTCACCGACTGATCCCGTGGGATGGCGCGATGCACCACTCTGGCCATGCCACCCTGCAGCGCCAGGGCTGGCCCGGCCACCAGGAAGATGTAGAGTGCCCGTCCCGCCGGCCCACCGGCTCGGTGCACCAGCAGCGCCCGGGGGAAGCAGGTGAAGACGCCACCCATGGCGGCGCTCAGGAAGCTGACAGAGGCCATGCCAACGCCCGCGCC